GGGGGAGGGGGGGCGGGGCAGGAGGTGGGGGCCGGAGCGCCAGACACCTGTTGGGGCTGCGAGCTGCTGCGTCTCCTAGACGCTGGAAGCCGGTTTGGGCGGCGAGAGCGGCTGGCGCGGCTGCAGCCAAGAACCTTTTAAGCCAAGAGAAAATCTTTCTCGGTTTTTAAGCTGAGAAGGGAGGCTGTCCAACAGCCAGGGTAGGAATGGATGATCGGCTCCAGGATCATACAGCCAGAAGGACATATACCCCTTTTCCTCCTTAGTGGTTGGTAGGGTTGGCAGGAACACAGGTTCTGGGTCCAGAGGTCCCTACATGGAGGTCCTTTCTCCTGCCTCCAGGTCCAGGAAACATCGGTTTTGTGGAGGCTGGAGGCTGGCAGCTGCCCAGTTGCGTAGGGGCGGGGGGGGGGGTGTGTGTGGGGGTGTTGGCGGGCAGGGTAAATAGGATTGCTGGTCCTAGAAAGGTGGCTGCCCTATGAGGGTCAGGTTCTGCCCTCTCTCCTTGCGATCGGTTGGTCTGGCCCCAAATCCTGAGCGATGGTCCCACGGCAGCTGCTCTCCCCTAGGTGCCTTCTGCATCCCGTTGTATGTTCCATATGTGCTGACGGGCCGCTGGACCTTTGGCCGGGGCCTCTGCAAGCTGTGGCTGGTGGTGGACTACCTGCTGTGTGCCTCCTCAGTCTTCAACATCGTGCTGATCAGCTATGACCGATTCCTGTCCGTCACTCGAGCTGTGAGTTCTGGGATGTGGGCATTGGAGTTTACTCTCTCTGTCGTGGGCACTGGACCAGGAATGGCTGCTTCTGAGCTGTAGGCAGATGTCTGGTGGGCTTGCTCCCTTTTGACATGTGAGCCACTTTTCAGTGACCATTAACTGCCAGCAATACTAGCATGGGGCAGGAGGTTAGCTTGGAATCTCACACTCTTGCAGGAAGGGGTGCCGGTGTACAGCCCGGTGTACAGCCTCTGTCCTGGGCACGTTCAGTATCCCTGGAACTGAGGGAGAGTCGTCATCCTTCCCGCTTTTGTGTACAGGAAGGCCAGTCACAAACTCCACTGGTGTTGAGTGGGTCCAGCAGCTGTTGCTTCATTGTCTCTCCTTGATGGCTCACTCACCTTAGGTCTTATCACGAGCAGCCTGAGGATTGACTTGCAAAGTCTACCAGTTTGGAGCCCTCTTAAGCCTCCCTAGGTCCCTTCTTCCAACCCTTGACCCACTGAGAGAGTGGTGCAGTCACAGGGTTATTGTGATGGGTGCCCAGTATAGAGCTGGCATGTGGCAGGTGTGCCCCAGACCTGTGGTTAGCACAAGCTTTGATTGTTGGTCTTGTGGTTTCCAAGGTGGCCATCAAGGACACTTCTTTCAGCTGTTTCACTGAAGCTCCATTGCAGGATTCTTGCCCCCTTCTGCACCCTGCCCCTTGTTTACTGGTTGCACTTGGAGATTAGACACACTGCTTCTTGGAAAAGGCTAGATGAACCCACTTGGTCACCTTTTTGAGGCATTCTCCTTCTAGAAAAGTGGGGGGGGTCTCCAGCATTGGGCCAACAGGCAGTTTCCTTTCTGTATTCCCAGCTCCAGTAGCGAGGGGGCGGGGGGAAGGAATTACTAGAACAGAGACAGGGCAAAGTCAGCATGACTAGCCGCTGAAGAGGGCTGTGGCCCTTGCAAGAAGCAAGAATCAGAAACAGTTGCATGTGGCTCCTGGGTGTGGCAAATGCTAATCTGGGTGCTAGTGCCCAGTAACCAGAGGCAGGACCCCATGGAGCTTGTAGCTGGTTTGGCGTGGTAAAGAGGCAAGATTCTGGTTAGTTGTGTGTGGCTCTGGGGCTCTGGGAGAGAGTCAGAGCACCCATCAGGGGACACAGGCAAGGGAGGGTTTGTGGAGAGAAGGACCATGGCACCTTGCCCATGGCAGACATGGAGTCCCAGAGGCTGCTCTAAGCTTCCACTCCAATGTTCCTGACCTCTTGATCTGTATGACCCCCTGCAGGTCTCCTACCGGGCCCAACAGGGGGACACACGGCGGGCGGTGCGGAAGATGGCCCTTGTGTGGGTGCTGGCTTTCCTGTTGTATGGGCCTGCCATCCTGAGCTGGGAGTACCTGTCTGGTGGCAGCTCCATCCCCGAGGGCCACTGCTATGCTGAGTTCTTCTACAACTGGTACTTTCTCATCACGGCCTCTACTCTCGAGTTCTTCACGCCCTTCCTCAGCGTCACCTTCTTCAACCTCAGCATCTACCTGAACATCCAGAGGCGCACTCGCCTCCGGCTTGACGGGGCCCGTGAGGCTGGTCCGGAACCCCCACCTGACGCCCAGCCCTCACCACCTCCAGCTCCTCCCAGTTGCTGGGGCTGCTGGCCAAAAGGGCATGGGGAGGCCATGCCACTGCACAGGTATGGGGTGGGCGAGGCAGGCCCCGGTGTAGAGGCTGGGGAGGCTGCTCTCGGGGGTGGCAGTGGTGGGGGTGCCGCTGCCTCACCCACCTCCAGCTCCGGCAGCTCCTCGAGGGGCACTGAGAGGCCACGCTCACTCAAAAGGGGCTCCAAGCCATCGGCATCTTCAGCATCCCTGGAGAAACGCATGAAGATGGTGTCCCAGAGCATCACCCAACGCTTCCGGCTGTCACGGGACAAGAAGGTGGCCAAATCGCTTGCCATCATTGTGAGCATCTTTGGGCTCTGCTGGGCCCCGTATACACTCCTAATGATCATCCGAGCTGCCTGCCACGGCCACTGCATTCCCGACTACTGGTACGAGACGTCCTTCTGGCTCCTGTGGGCCAACTCAGCCGTTAACCCTGTCCTCTACCCGCTGTGCCACTACAGCTTTCGCAGAGCCTTCACCAAGCTCCTCTGCCCCCAGAAGCTCAAGGTCCAGCCCCACGGCTCCCTGGAGCAGTGCTGGAAGTGAGCCGCCGCTCCACCCTTCCGTGGCCGTGTCCTGGCACTTGTTTCATGGGCCCTGCCTTGTCCATGGCCACTCTAAATGCCATGACAGCCTCTTAGATCATCAACCACCCTGCAGTGGGGAAGCCTGGTAGGCTAGCCAGGGGCCCTCGCTGGTGGAACTGAAGCGTGCTGGCTGGCTCTGCCACCACATGCTGCTTCACCCCAGAAGAGACAATTCAGGGGTCCCAGGCATGCGTTCCACCTCTGCAGACAGTGCCGTGCCAGTGGTGCCCGTGGTGTCCCCTTGTGCACACTTAGTGGCTGGTGTCCTCTCTGATGCAAACCTTGGTGTGTGCTCCAGGCTCCTGCCCCAGCAGTGTGCCCTGCATGTGCACACACCCGCCACACACCCGCCACATGCTGCAACACCTTCCCTCTTCCAGACAATCTGGGGATGATGCCCTTTGCTGCTTCTGTCTCCTGCTTAAGCCCAGAACCTAGTTCCTTTGTCCCTCTCCTCTCAACTCTTTGCCCCACAAAGTGGCAAGTGCCCCCAGGAACCTTGAAGCCTTTCTCTGCTTTTCCATTCTGGATGTTTTCAGAAAGATGGAAGAGAAGAAAACACGTCTGTGAACTTGATGTTCCTTGGATGTTTAATCAAGAGAGACAAAATTGCCGAGGAGCTTGGGGCTGGATTGGCAGGTGTGGGCTCCCACGCCCTCCTCCCTCAGTGCTGCAGCTTCCGGCTGAGCCGCGCCAGCTGCTTCTGCCCCCCTCCTCCAAGGCTTGGGACGATGGCCCTACTGGCAGTGATGCCTGTTCAGCGGGCCAAAGCCTGCCCTGCTTGCCCCATCTGTGCAATCAGAATTTGAGGGTGGGCGCATGGGTTGTTGGGCAGAGGGGCCCCAGGGGCTTACAGGGGAGTTGGCAGGAGAGCAGGCTGGGGAATACCTGGAGGATTGCTTTGCCTTGTCCCGTGTACCCATCTCAGGCCTCTGCATGCTCTGCTGTCTTTGTGCCCTGGTGTGCTGCCTCTGCCAATGTGAAGACACAATAAAGTGTATTTTTTTATTGGTGCTGACTTTTGAGGATTTTGTGGGAGTAGCAGCTATTGTTCAGGGTTCTAATTGGAGGCCCCATGGAGACAGAAATGTGACCTTGGTATTCTAACTGGGGAACTAGGTGGGAGAAACCCAGGCTGTCGTTCCAGGGTTTAGTTCCCACAAAGGACAATTCCCAGCACAAAACTCCTGAAAGACTTGTAGGGCAGAGCCCCAGCTGGTGCCCCTTTCCAGGAGGGCAACACGGTACTGGAATGGCTCACATATGCCTTCAGAATCCAGATGGGTAGCACCAATGTAGCCAGTCTGTTCCAGGACAGTGGCTCAGCCTTCTTGACAGAAACCGTTCATCATCACAGCCCTGACCTTACACGTTGGTCGCCTGGCTGTGTTCAGGCAGGACACAGGCCCCAGGAAGAGCCTTGGCCATGCCTCGTGTTTCAAGAGAAGCTCGGGAAAGTGTTGCAAAGGAGCTGGTGTGACCAGAGAGGGCTTCTGGGGCTGTGAGGACTGAAACTGGACTCGTGGGAACTGAGAGATGCAGAGACGCCTTCCCAGGCAAAGGTCTGACTGTGATTGAAAGTTGGGGACAGTAGGAAGAAGACAGGACGGAGAAGGGGGGTGATTCCGCTGTCAGTGGATAGCCTTAGGGCTAGCCTCACCACCCAGAACAGGATAGCCTGGCCTTCGGGTCGCCTCACCCCCACCTTGATCTTCAGAGTTATCACCTTTCCTCCACTGAGCGGGGCAGGAACTTGCCACCAAAGCCTCACAGCCAGACACCACGGGGTCATCACTGCAGCGAGGGTCGCCACACACAAGCAAAGCTCCATGGTAGCTCAGTACTGCACAGGGGAAGCAACCGCAGAGCTCTCTCCTCCTCCAGATGTTCTCCCTGCAGCTGTGCCTGCACTTGTCTTTCTCAACTATTTGACAACTCCCAAAAGGCAGGACCCCCCCCCATCTTTCTCTCTCTGGATTTGGGCTCAAGCAGGACCTTCTTCTTCGGTCCAATCTCTAGGGTCCCTCCTTAGTCACCAGAGTCTGGAGTGAGCCTGGGGACTCTGGACCCTCCTTCATAGCCCTTGTCCCCCGCCTCACCAGCCCAGGCCCGGACCTATCCAGAGCCGTTGGGAGTGCTGAGAGGTGGATGCCACCTTCTTCACTCAGCATCCTCCCATCTTGTCCCTGAGAGCTGAGAGGTTTTGTGGCTCCCCCAGCAGGCTGACACTAGCTCCCTCACCCTTCACCGGGGCCTGGCCTCCCCAGCGGGTGTCTGTCCCCAAAGCCCTGAGTGATCTGGGGAAGGACAAAGGACTGCTCTCTCCAGCGACATAGCCAGCGCCCAAGCTGCCCCTCCACCCGGCCCTACTAAATGGCTACAAATTGGAGGATAAAAGCACAGGCTTTCAAGCAATTTTGCCTTCAATCTCTGGAAACTGCCGCTCCCGGAGTCGCTGTGTGAGGACGGAGGAGGAGAGAAGAAAGACACGGAGTCTATTGGGCCCGAGTCTGCAGCAAACAAACAGGCGGAGGGGGCCTTCTGCAGTTCCAGCCGCTCTCAGTCCCAGCCTGGAGGACAGGGAGCTGTGCTGGGACTCAGCGGGGCAGCTGTTGTTTACTGTGCACCTACTGTGCACTGGTGCCAGGGAGGTGGGTTGCCAGAAAAGCAGCCCAGAGGTGGCAGATAGAGGACCCTTGAGATAAGCGGTACAGGATCATGGTCGCTCTGGGTCTCGGAGGAGGACCCAGCTATCCAAGATGGAGCAGACATCTACTTGGATTGTTAATCAGGGTCATGGCCAGATTGAGGGCCACCTGGAGGAGTGGGACTCAGAGACAGCAGGGTCCCCTGGGTACTGACACTGGCTGCAGGAGTCGGTCATCTCGTCACTCTTGACACTGGCTCTGAAGATGCCTCATGGGGAAAAGGTCCTGACATACTAGCTGGGAACCTTCCCAGACTACAGGAAGAGCCTAAGCTACTGGGGGCCCCATCAGGTAAACCCAGTCCTCTCCTTCACAAATGGAGAAATGAATCAGAGCCAGGGCTGTGAGTGGGAGTGGCTGGGGTCTCCTTGGTAAGGCTTCAAGAGTCATAGGTCACCCCTCGGTCCTCCATCCCACCCCAGGGCTTCTGGATAGGTTCCAGGATGCGCGGAACATTTCACCCACAACTAACAGTGCTCCTGCTGGGTGCTAGTCAGAGTAAACACCCTGTGTCCTCATAGGGACCCCTCAGTACTGTGCACATTCTCCATTCTGTGGACACAGCCCATGTCACACATCAGCAGTTGGCAAGGAGCCAGCATTTGGAGCCAAGCCTGATGTGGAACCCACACTCCTTCCACTCCACTGCTTCCTCACTGAGCAGACTGTGTTTCAGATACCATGGGACAGCAGGGGCTGAGCCATCTGCAGGAGGACAGCATCCAAGCTCCTATGACATTAGCCTATAGCGGCTGGCAGGGGTTGTCCCAGGATGGGAAGGAAAAGCAGGGTGTTTGAGGAAGGCTCTGTTGATCTTAACACAAAGCATTTGCTGTTGAGATTTTGAGATGGGGATTTGTGTAGCTCAGGCTGGCTTTCAATTCATTACGTAGTCGAGGATGGCCTTGAACTTCTGATTCTCCTGCCTCTACCTTCTAGTGATAGCACTGGGAATGGAGCTCAGACCATCAGGTATACCAAGCCAGCACTCACCAAAGAGCAGAGTTACATATACCTCCAGCCCTCAAAACACTTGCTGAGCTGGGTGGTGGCTGCACATACCTTTAATCCTAGCACTCAGGAGGCACAGGCAGAAGAATTTCTGAGCTCAAGGCCAGTATTTTCTAGAGAGTTGAGTTCTAGGATGGCCAGGACTACACAGAGAAACCCTGTCTCAACCCTTCCAAACAAACAAAACAAATGAACAACAAAACCCAGCACTTGCTGGACGCTCGTTATATACCCTCTGCTGAGCAGGGACAAGGAGTCAAGAAAGCAGCCGCTGTCTTCCCTGGGCAGCAGCTGAGTCAGTGCCGCGGGGAAGAAAAGGGAGGAACAGTGGAGTCAAGGCTCAGTTGCCCAGGTGGTAGAGAAGTGTGCTTCAAACGGACACTGAGACTTTGAGGCCGAGAGTTGCCCAGCCTCCCCAGCTGGTCTGTGCCGAGGCTGAAAGTAAAACCTACCCCTACTAAGGAAGTACCCAGTCCTCCGCCTGCCCCATGCCAGGACGGATGAGCAAGCAGGTGGGGGTGGGGCATCGGGGTCCTAGGCTCTGCTCCTCTGCAGCTTGGGCTCAGCAGCTTGGTTTGGGGCCAGACACAGGCATCACTCGGCCACGCAGTCAGGAAGGGCTCTCCTGCCCCCACTTGCCCGTCTACCACCCACCAGCAGGAAGTGGATCCTGGGCACTGCAGGTCTCCTGTCATTACTACAATTGCTCCGTGGTTGGCAGTGCCCGCACCTGCTGTCAGTGGGTAGTGCCACCCTAGCCTGTCATTAAGTGCTTGGGTCCCAGCTCCCTGCAGGAAGGCAGACTTCCAGGGGTGGGAACTGGTTAGGGAAGGGCCCACCGTCTGTACCTGTACCTGGGGGGTCCACCTTCCCACAACTTCTCTCTGTCTTGACTACACAGTGGGGCAAGCACAAGATCAGGAGTGGCTGGCAGGATGGGGAGTTGAGTCCAGACTGGCTATTTCCTAGCTGTGTGACCCCAGGAGGTCCCTCAGCCCCAGGACCAAAGAGCCCTTTCTTTCCCTGGGGTCTAATGAGCACAGAGGGACATCTCAATTCTGATGCTATGGCCCTAAGACATATGGATTACTGCAACTAGGGTGGAGACACCAGGGACTCTAAAGAAGGCTTTGGCTGTATAGAGGCCAGGAAAAACCTCCCTGTACCTGGAAGGGTCATCATGGTACCAGTCCAAGGACTGTGACCAGATCACAGTGGCAGCTATACCATGCCCCAGACCCTACTCTGAGACCTTTTCTTAAACTCTAGCTCTCCAATACAATGACTTCTATCATCCCCGTTTTACAGATGCAGAAGCTGCGACACAGAGGGGTTAGGCGGCTTCACACTCACAGCAGGGAAAGGTTGAGCCTCAGTCGACTCCATCTGGGCTTACTTCTCAAGTAATTTATCGTCCAGGGCTTACCTTCTTATATCTCTCTTGAGCCTAACCTGATAGGCCCTCCACAGAACCGGTTCTTCCTTGTATTTAGTTCTGTGGCGCCACAGGCAGAGGCAGGGGTTGCAGAACTTTAGAGTCATTTTTGACTACACAGTGCATTGAAGCCAGCCTTGGACACTTGTGGCTCTGTCACGCAACCAAATGAAATCAAGAAAGGGAGTCAGGTATGGTTTACACTAATTCTAGCCCTTGGGAAGTCTAAGGCAGAAGGTTCATCTTAGAGTTGAGGCTAGCCGGGGCTATAGTGAGTTTCTGGACAGCCTAGGCTACCTATCTCAAAAAAATACAAACAAACAAACAAACAGATAAATGCTGGCCAGTGATGGTGCACACCTTTAATCCTAGCACTTGGGAGGCAGAGCTAGACAGATCTCTGTGAGTTCGAGGCCAGCCCGGTCTACAGAGCGAGTTCCAGGACAGGTTCCAAAGCTATACAGAGAAACTCT